ATCAACGCACACTCACATGAAACCCATCCTTACTGTGCAACCTACCAATACAAAGATGAGGGGCTGCGGGAGGGTGGTTCAACAAATGACCACCGATAGGTTGACAGACTCACCGTTCTGTGACGAACTCGGGCTCAGAATACTGCTTTCATACAAGTGCAACACGGTAGGAGAGCCCATTCGCACGACACAAACGCTCTTGAACATTCGATGTGAGCGCATTGGGGACTTTGAGGTGGATGTTCGGGACTATGAATAAGACTTGGGTGTGAAGGACAGAATCTACTCTGAGCAACGAATCCCGGTCGAGAAACAAACCTTGACATTTGAGTGTCACGTACTCGAGGATGACTACGCGCTGAAAAATTACGGCATCCCGCAGGCTTCCTCCTTATCTCTTAGCCCAACGCTAAACTTTTCAAGGGATATGACCTTGATTATAACTGTGCCGTCTGAATTCAAGCTCCACTTTCCGCTCAATAAAAATACGACCTGAAAGAACAGCTGTGTCGCTGGTGTTAACTGCCAGGAAAAAATAACGAATTGGTTTTGACTGTGATCTCTTTAAAGGCAGTCGAACTCTGGCATCCTACGGAGTGGCGCATACTTCTAATCTCACTGACATAGGCTATAAGTCAAAAAGTCCAGGAGTCAACTTGTATGTTCTGCAACTCCATTTGAAGACCGTTAGGGGAAAAACAATTGCACTGAAATTCATTACGTCAGACCTGGCGTATACTGTGAAGAGGCGGGTACAATCAATAGAGGGTACTCTACTGGCAGAACAACACATAATTTTCGCGCGAAGGCAATTGGAAGACAAAAAAACTGATGACTACAATAAACAGGGTGGAGACACGCTTCTCATTGTTTTACATCTGGTGGGTGGGTAAACCAGATTAACATTTTTATTTAATGATTTCCGTTTAAATTCCTGTACTCTGCAATTTTTCCGAACAATCACCAGTAGCAGGAAATCATGCAGTTATGGCAGCCTGACGGTACTTTTCTGACCTGAAAGCAGAAGTTGGCATTTACTGCAAAAAAATTTTATCTTAATATAGCAGAGTACAGAAATGTAAACGGAAATCAGTAGAGAAAAATGCAAATTTGGATTATGCACCCATCAGCCTTATAAGCATGTGAAGCGTTGATATGTCTTGCACGTTAAAGTCTATCAAGGGTTTTCCGTCTTTCAGCTGCCTTCCCGCATATAATTATCCCTGTTTATCCACCGGAATGCCCTCTTCTGATTGTAGGCGTGTCTTCAAACTAGATACTCTATCCAAAGGATTCACTTCGAGCGTTACTTTTTCCCGGGAAATGTAAATATGTAGTTTTATAGCATTCCCATTAGTGTTAGGATCCGATACAATAGAATGCACGACAGAGCAAGTTGACTCATGCGCCAGTCCGCACGATGCCAACGTTTGGTTGCCTTTTAAGAGTACACCGTTAAAAAAGCAACTCGTAATCTTTGACAGGTTGTCGACACAATCGACGCAGCTCTGCTCTTAGATCATCCATAATGGCCACTTTGGGAGGTCTCATTCACTTGCCCTGGATGCTGGATATTCACTGCAAGCGCAAGGAACACTTTAACCTGCATGTTCCGGACCACGAAAGTGTCTCAGGTTTGAAGTGCACTATCTGTTGTGATGAATATATTTCGGTGGAGAATCGAACCTTGATATTTCACGGTCTACTTCTTGCAGGTGATTACGACCTGGAGGTGTACGGCAGCAGGAATTGTTCTTCTGGATTCCGCAGTCTTCTCTTGGACTTTGCAAAGGGATATTTCGGCGAGTGTAACCCTGTCATCTGAATTCGAGGTAAGTCCTTGGGTCAGTGGAAGGGTAAATGTGGACAAATAACTCTCGAAAGTTCTGTGGTGGCGTTCGATGGTGAACTCTCAAAAGGCAATCAAACGCTGGCTTCCTACGGCGTGGTGCATTATTTAAATGTCACTGTCATGGGGTACAAGTCAACGATTCTGGAAGGCAACTTGAATGTTCAGCGACTCTATCACAGGACCGTTACGGGGAAAAAATGCCCTGAAGCCATTCCGTCCGACACAGCGAATATTCTGAAGATTCGCGTACAATCAATAGAGGGCTCTCTACTGGCCGACTGACACATCATTTTGGGTGGAAGACGAAAAATCCCTGGCGGACTCTAACATGCAAGCCGGATCAACGCGTTACATGCTTATAAGTATGATGGACGCATAAACTGAACTTGCATTTTTCTTTAATAATTTCCGTTAAAATTACTATACTCTGCTATGTTAAAATAAATATTTTTGCGTTGGTCGCCGACTTCAGGCTACCGAATGCGGTTATTACAGCGTAAATGTAGGCAACCAATGTCAAATCTTACTTTAAGTCGATGCGGATCATATCTACATGACCGGAAAACTGTACCTGCGGACTTCGCTTAGAAATCAGAGTAGGCCTACTTTGCTTGCGTCAGGCTCAACCTTCGTTTCTAGGGGTTCTGTCCAGGCCCAGTGATGACGTCAGACGATAGATGACAGTAGGCTACGCCGTTTACCAGTGCTCCCTGATTCAGATGACGCCAGCGAGCTCATGGCTGCTCTCTCACAGCCCACACTCTGTGAGTTACGTCAGCGTGCACTTTTAGCCCTGCCAAATTACACTTACCAGACCCATTAGCCCAGTAAGTGTGCGATGTGCGTTTAGCGGCTGATGCGAGGTCTGTGAATCAGGCGGTGTTGGCTGATTTTCACACCACGCTGTGGCATAGTCTCATTGATACTTGACATCATAACTGTTCCACGCTTTTCGAGTAACACGTAGTCCTAGCGCGAAAAAAGGGCAAGTCAGAGCACGGAGGTGGACAGGTGACGTTGTACGAACAGTCTATTAGTAGAAAAACCTTACTAGCTGCGATCTTTAGGCGTTGTTCCTTTTGAAAAGATAAGAAGGGAAACGCCACGGTTGAATGAACAGTTTAATCTGTACAGATTGCGATCTTTAGGTCGTGTTAACTTGGAGAAGAGGAAAGACTATAAGCCAAGTGGTAGGAACAGTTCATTCTGTACAACAGGAAGTTGATTGTCGAACGAGTGTAGGTTTGCACCGTAACCAGGCAGTGTCCGAAGTCCTTGAGCCTGGCGGCAGTCATCTTATCGTTCACAGAGGGCGCTTTTTTTCTGGGTCAGCCTCTGCAAATGTTAGTGATAAAGGTGTCAAAGTGAAGTGATAATAAATATATTATAGGTCATAGTTAGGCCAAGGTACCGGAAAGAGGATACCTTCCTGGGCAGGATGTCTAAGGATTTAGGACTGGGAGAATGTCGTAGTCGGAAAAGCTGTAGTGACCTTAGTCCGCGCGCGATACTTGCCTCTCGCGACTGCTAGCACAGGCCTACCCCAGTCCGGTCTGTTCAATCGCCTTCAAGGCTGACTCACAGAGGACTCTGTTGTAGTGGCCGCGCTGTCGCACTTCGGGTGTCGGCCCTCGTGGCCAGTGGCACGCTTGTCCGACTGTCAATTTCCTCAGTAAATTCTCTGCTACCTCTGTACAGAATACACTATTCCCTCCACCTAGATTCACACTACCTGAATGTCGCAGTGTCAAGGGGTTTGCCAATGATCGTAAGCCACTGCAATAAACACATTGGACTGATTTTTGATTATTTCATAGAAGAATATTGACTAACAACCATGCTGAATCAGGGTCCAGGACATTTTTCAGAACCGGGAATTGTGTCTGATTTTTGATAGGATGACCAACCATCTTCTCATGGGCCTAGTTAACATAAAAACATCCCTTTGGCGATCGTAGGTCATCGGTGTGCATGGAGAATATCTGAGGAGATACGATTGAATCTTGATGACCTCCGCTGTTCTTGGGAAATACCGTAGATATTTATTTGCCACATTGGACGAACTGAGTGGGGCAATTTAAATACTCCCTAAGCCAAGAAAGCCCCCAATGAGAACCACATGAAGACTTTTTGTTTGGGAAGAGATGGCGTGGGATAGCATTAAAGGCTGAGGAGTACTCGAGAAATGTACATGCGTGCGCATATCGCAGGGGGTTATTTTAATAAGAAAAAATCCTATCTGCTGTGATCTTCAGGCCGTAGTTCCTTAGGAGGAGAGAAGACATGGGAGGCCAGAGTGGTAGAGGCAGTTTATTCTGTACAGAAGGAACGGAGAATAGGCAGGAGGAAATTGACTTTCAGGCAAGTGCAGGCCTTTCTCTAGTGGGACGGCATCCGGATTGTCAGAGCGTAGGCATTCATCGCTGTCAGGCCCTATGTGAGTTGACCTTGAAGATGATTGGCCAGACCGATTGAAGTCAGCCTATGACTGCGCGCGTGTTATTGGCCACCGCTTTTTCCCGGAGTTTGCAGCACCTGTGCTTGACTGCCTCAGAGGCCGACAGCAGTGAGCGTTCTCGCGCGA